AAGCCCTAAACCCCTACCCATGAACCCTAAACCCGAAGCCCTAAACCCCAAAACCCTAAACCCTAAACCCTAAGCCCTAAACCCCTACCCCTAAACCCTAAACCCTAAACCCTAAGCCCTAAACCCCTACCCATGGGCCCGATAGTAGTAGTTCCTTTTTGGGGCTCATGTTTAGAATCCTATAAGGTAATCCCAAAAAGGAACTGCTACGAACCCTAAACCCTAAACCCCTATAAGGTAACCCCAAAAAGGAACTACTATGGGGCCTATGGGTAAGCCCAAGGTGGAAGCTGGATCCCGGTCGTGCGAGGACTGCTTTAGAGAAGCTGACACCCTCCAGGCTCAAACCGTGGGCGAACCAATTTTCGGTTCATGTATGTAGGGTTTAGGGTTTAGAGTTTCCGAAAATTAGGGTACCTTATTTTGGGGTCCTTATGATAAGGATCCTATTATTTAGGGTACTATATTAGGGTCCCCTATTTTCGGAAACTCCCATGTATAGTCATAGTGTGTTTGCTGTGGGGTTCCACATCGTACATAAGGCTTAGTAGTACTGATGGCAAAGAGATCCGAAAACCCTGTTCGAATTGTTCAGGCCCTTGTGTTGTGGTTTCGGGCTTCGCATCTGGGTTGAGGAACTTGGCTTTTTGATGGGTTTCAGGTTTAGGGGTGGCTCCAAGAGGTTTGCTGGTGGTTATAAGGGTATGATCTAACGTGGGAGGGTTTAAATCGGAATGGGCTTTAGGGGTTCAGGGCCCCAAACCCTAAGCCCTAAACCGTTTATGGCACCGTAAGCTTGGACATCCCGTGGGTCCTAAGTACCTCGATCAAACGTAGAATGTAGGATTTCTGTATTCGGAGCCATGGTTATGTTTTGGGAAAGTCTCCCCCTATATCAATACCTAGGAGCCCAAAGCGCACCCTATTATAGAAGCCTACCATTGCTGCTCTTAACAGTCGGGGAGCCGGCCGGGTGTGGCAGGGATTGGATGTATAGTTTAGGGCGTAGATACTGGAGGTCCGGGAGTTTCTTGGAATCAGAGGCCCAAGTTAGACCCGGCTTTTGGTGACAAAACATGTTGTTGGTAGTGCAAAACGATTATGGCAGTATGTGTCATAGGACCCTTATATGCCTTTACCAGCACCTGATTGTAATCCTATTCTAACGTTGGCTTCGAAGTCGCCGCGAGCAGGTAATAGTCCGCTCGTAGCTGCCGAAGCATACAAACGGTGCATGTGTTTCCTTTGGCCTCGAGTTGTTTGTCGTCGATAGGGTTTATTCTACGGTGTAGGGTGTGGGGCTTGAGGATGTTCGGGTTTAGGGGTGATGAGTTTAGGGCCCAGGGTCACCTTTTCACAACTTGCAACCGAAACCCTCGACCCAGCAATCCCTCAATCTCAAAACCATGGCATCGTGAGAGCTTCTGCTACAGGACGACAAACGGTTCAAAAAACAAGGCCGAGAGGAAGGACCCGAAGATGGCACTTAAGCAGAAGATGGTATCCGCCTCTTCAGAATCAGCTGGTCAGAAGAGGTCTTCTAGGGGCCTAAACGACTACCAAAACTAGTCCTTGGAGCTTCTCAACCCTATTCTGATAATGCAGGCCCGTACATAAATCCCTCCCAGCAGCGGCCCTAAACCCTAAACCCTAAACCCTAAACCCTAAACCCTAAGCCCTAAACACCCTTTGAAGGCGGCGGTTCGTCATGCAGAACTTCAAGCACCTTCCAGTCAACGGGTCTTCCTCTTCCGACAAGCTGGAGGAGTGCCCCGGCGGAGCCCAGGCACTTTAGGGTTTAGTTAGGGTTTAGGGTGCAAAGATGGCTTCAAAATCCGTCAATTCAGGAATATACCTTAACTTACAAGAGGCATCCTAACAAGAATTAAGGCATGTTCCTCAACTAAAGGATTTTGGAAGGTCTTGGAACCCAGGTACTAACCAGTCGTCTGCAACTTGAGGCCCACCAAGCAAGACCCCATAATATAGAAGCTTAGATAATGACCTAGATTATTCCTTAGGGGTTCCTTATTATAATCATAGTATCATGGGCCCCAAATCCCTATGGCCTCTACATTACGCTGATGCGCTCGTCTTTGACATTTGAGGCCCCCCGCTTGACCAAGCCACCGAAACCTACAATCCGACGGAGAAGATACTAAAGCACAACCCAGACCGTGAAGAGCCTTTGTAGCACCGAATCCTAACTTTAGGGTTTAGGGCTTCGGGTTTAGGGTTTTGGGGTTTAGGGGTGTAGGGTTTAGGGTTTACCCCTAAACCCTAAACCCTAAACCATATGCAGAATCCTGAACATGAATTACAGTACCAACTCAATTCTTTGCCTCGGGCACCATAGAATATTAACATACCCCAAAGCCCTGTTCGAGTTCTTCAGGCCCCCGATGTGACCTATAAGGGTTTAGGGTTTAGGGTTTAGGGTTTGCCTATACCATCCCAATGTTTTGGGGGTGTCACCAGCTTGGGGAAGCGTTCATGGGCCTCCGGGTGCTTGAGCTTCCACTTGTTCAGGTGTCAAGAGCTCAGAAGCCTAAAGAGTGTTGACATCCAAGCTGGCTAATATAGGGGTCTAAATAACTACCTATACTATTTCGGGGGGTTCCTTATTATAAATATGTATAATGGGCCCCAAAATCGTAGTGAAATTATTAAGGCCCCTAAATTCGATCAAAAACCCTAAATCCTGAAACCTACCCCCCGGAAACTAGCCCCTTACCTGTTGCGTGCAAATGGCTTTTGACCCCTTGCGCAGTAGGCTTTGACTCTTTCAGATATACACCAAGGTGCTTCCAGTCCCGAAAAGCTCGAACCCTAGAATCACCATGTAGGGAGCCCGAATCCCCCTAATCCCCCGTTTTGTCTCGTCTCTGACATCAATAGCCTTCTAGCACCATCCCCACACACTTTCCCCTTTCAAGAAAGGAGGGTTGCCGGAATGGAAGGGCGATAGATGGAAATTGGAAGTTCTGTGTTACCTGATCGCTTGACACCGTCTTCCAGGTACATCGGGCACTGTGAGCAGACGGGCTCTTGGTGATTTTCGCATGTTTTCTGGCTGTTGATCTCCAGAAGGGTTATACCGGGCTAAGTGGTATCTGGCTCCAGTGCTTCTGGTGCAGAATGTGAAGGTGTTGAGCTTGGAATTTCAGGTTCACAGCGCAGCGTCCATATCTGAGGGTTTGAGGCTGTTGAGGAACACACCGCGATGTTGAGCTCCATGTTCATCAACGTGGTAGGTCATGCATAGGAGGTCGTCTGGCTTTGCAAGTGCTGACGCCAAACGCAGGGTTCAAAGACTCATGAGCGTGGCCTGGAATCCCGAACGTAGAAATGATCAACAAATTCCGAGCATATAGAATCAAAGTAGAGAAATGTCGAAACTTCCCTTCATTTCTCAAGCTTCAACCGCCGTAAATGATGACAGAGAGAAACGTCAGAACAGCTGCGAAGGGTGCCGAGTAGTCCTGGATCGCTTGTAGCAGGCAGCACAACAAGCCAGGACGTAGACACCAAGTTCTTGTGACAAAAACATCGCTGTCATTTCGACGAGTGTATATATATATATATATATATTTATATTTATATTTACATACAGATCTATTGAAACCCTACCCTAAATCCCGAACCCGAAACCCAAGCGGAGAGTCTTGCTAATTATTCCGACTCCTATATAGCAAGCCCTAAACCCTCATAAACTACACCCCGGAAGCCATGTGCCATGCGGGGCATGCGGTGCGTTTCCCGGTTTTGCTGGCGTTCCTTGGGCACTTGGCCTCCGCGTATTCGACGGTGGCCGGGCAGAGAACGGTTGGACTCTTTGGCTGAAGGGTCTGTGCCCTTAAGGGTTCCTTGAACGGTACCATTTAGGGTTTAGGGTTTAGGGTTTTGGGGTTTTGGGGTTTAGGGTTTAGGGTTTAGGGTTTCGGTTCCTTTAGGGGTTTAGGGTTTGGGGTCTCCTGTTCAGGATGATTCTGGGGGTTCCTTTCAACTTTTTGTTTAGGGGTTCCTTTGAGAGATCCTTTAAGCGTTCCTTGAGGGGCCCCAATGGGCCAACCGACCCAAACATTCAGGATCTCGGACTTACGATATTAGTATAGTATTTAGTAGTAAAGCATATTATAGTAGATTCTAGTATAGTAGATTATAGTATATTCGTTCTGTAGGGGTACTTGGGCCCTTAGATTGAGGCTCTTCAGTTGTTTAGGTACCGGATGAAGACTTGTCTGAACATGATCGGCCCAAGTAAGGCGTTTATCTTTTCGGAAGTTCAGCGGCAAAATTCGTGTTGTGAGACAACAGTAGAAACTAAGGTTGCTCTGCATCTCCACCAGAGCTGCATTTAAGCTACATACTTCCTTGTTGCAACTGGGTGCGTTTGTTTGGGGCTTCGACATCGGGGCTTCGGATCGTAGGGTGTCCGGTTTGGGCCTTTTGATCGTGCCACAGTCTCAGCGCTAGCTTGGTGAAAGGGTTCGCGTACTAGTGATGCGGTCGTTTCGGGTATTTGCACCACATGAGAGCCTAACAGCCCAATGCAGGCTAAACCCGCCGAATAGGCCCCAAGGGAGATTTGAAATAGGCATCTTAAATGTATATGCTTAACCCTTAAAACCTAAATCGTAAACCCTAAACTAAAACTCCTGCTCAGAGCATGAGGTGATGTGCACGACACCTGTGTGTCCGAAGGACTACTCGCTCTACTCTCTTCGATCTTCTGTTCGGGTCACCATACAGGGTTTGGGGAAAGAGAGGAAAACCTACGACTTATACCCAAGACGCCTTATGGAGCGAGTTTGAAGCGGTGTTTGGCTCGATCGTGGTTTCGTTCAGGGCTCGTCTAGTGTTGTGGAGCGTCCGACGGTCCATGGACATTCGCCTCCTTCAATACAAACCCGACGTAACTGACAGAGGCCCAAATCCCAAGCCCAAGCCCTACACCCTAATCCCCTAAACCCTAAACCCTAATGTCCGAAACTCTCCAGCCCTGAAACTGAAACTCTACAGTGAAGTCCAGGCAGTTGGACGGAGCATGAATTATGGAGGCTTAGTTCTAGGGCTCTTTGATGCTACCTGCATTCTACCTTCATGTCATCGAGTTCGTGATCTTATATGACCTCTTGTTCTGTCTTCCTGAGCCCTTAAGTATAAACAACAAGTCCTCGACCAGAAACCCTGAACCCTCCATCCCCTAAACGTTATTCCCTGTACCTTAAACACGAACTCTTGTTAGAACCCTTGCAGAACCCTCATCGAATCTCGTAGAACCCTGCAGAAGCCCTGAAGGAACCCTTGTAGAATCTCATAGAAACCCCTACGGTAGAACCCGTCGTGCCTTTGTAGAGCCCCTGAAGGAATCCCTGTAGCACTGGAGACACTTACTAGGTTTTGAACGCGTAAAGTAACCCTTCTAGAATTCTTACAGAACCCTTACGTGAGCCTTAAAGGACCCTAGTGAAGGAACCCCTATATAAACCCTTAACCCTAAACCCTTAGGGTTTAGGGTTTAGGGTTTAGGGTTCCTTCAAAAGGAACCCTTATAGGAGACCCTTCTTCTTAGCCGAAGGACCTTCGACCCGTGAGGCGGGCTGGGGCCCCAAAGATCTGGGCCTATGGCTGCGACGTCTCGCAAGGATCTTAGGGTTTAGGGTTTTCTGAAGTGTTGGGTTCAATCTAGGGTTTAGGGCTATAGGCGGCTATAGGCTACAGGTTTAGAGTTTATGCTTAGGTAGGATATAGGGTTCAGGCGTAGGGCTTAGAGTTTAGGGTATATAGGGCCAGGGCCTCTTGAAGAGATGAGATTACCTAGGGTCTGGGTAGATAACCTTTAACCTATTGGGGCTTATTTCTAATCCTACTATAATTCAAAAGGTTAACCTTTTTTGGGCTAGCCTACTCAGATTATATCTGTAACTTCTTTCGGGCTGCGGGCTATAGGGTGTAAGGTTGCACAGGGTTCTAGGCCTGTAATGTAGGAGCCTTAATAATTGGAATAGGGTATGGTGGGCTCCCTTTTAGTAAGAGTTATAATGCGGACCTAAGGAATATAGTATTGGTATGTATTTTGGCTTCGATATAAGTTTTTAGGGGGGTTCAATGTCATCTTCGATCTCGAAACGTATAGGCTTCGAGGTTTTGGAGTTCGGAGCTTAGGGTTCAGGCTTTAGGGTTTTGGGTTCAGGGTTTCCGTTTAGGGTTTTGGGGTTTAGGGTTCAGGGTTTCGGTTCAGTGTTTAGGGTTTAAGGTTTAGGGTTTCGGTTCAGGGTTTAGGGTTTAGGGTTTCGGTTCAGGGTTCAGGGTTTGGGGTGTGGGGTTTAGGGGATTTTGTGTCGTCCTACTGTGCGGGTTTGGATCATAAGAACCCGATTAGAGTGGGGAGTTGAAACCCGGCAGTGCCTTATCCATGTTCCGGCAACACAGTTTCGATCCCTACTAAGCGAATGCTTGAAACCACGCTTGCCAAGCACTGAAGCACTGCAGCGGATGTCCCACCACTGAGACCGAAATCCCGCATAGCTGCTTCCAAAACTTGCCCTGCAACACAAACCTGTAAAACCCAAGTGTTCAACGGTTCACACTGGTTTCGGGTGTGGGGTTTCAGCTAGTTGGGGGTTCGGTTCAGAGTGCTCCGAGAGGATTTTAAGGCGATCGTGAAGTAGAGTAATATAGGGGCCATTATAATTACCTATAATAATTTGGGGGTTTTTTATTCCAATTAGAGTATAAGAAACCCCAAAACCCTAGTCTAATTATTACGGCCCCTACCTCATATGTCTACAAGGGATGTCGGTTGGGGGTTGAGGCTCGAGGGTTTACAAAGGCACAGCCGGCTACAGGGCCGCATAACTGATGCCACAAAGGGCTTTGCAGAAAGTTTTCATCCCTGTTGTTTCATCCTTGTAGGGTGGCGAAACCTTACGCTCTAAATTCTAAAATAACATATCCCTGTCTTGCGAAGAGCCGGTGCAGCAGGAAATGGGACATTGAACCGCTGCTGCATCGAGAAGGACGGACAGGTCGTTGCGAACTGTGGGATCTTTGAGAGTGCCGTACACTGTCATACATGATTACTCCACATGCTCATTCCAAGCCCGTCCCTCAGCATGTCGAACCTTGTCAGTCTAGTGCTAGTGGCGTCAGGTCTGGTGAATAATTGGCCAAGCAGGCATAGTTCCTGGTTCGTGTAAGCACACCCCCCGCCCCCATACGGGCAGGAAATCTGCATGCGCAGCTGTGGAATGCCTTGGAAGAAATGCAAGCAGCACTTCGAGCGATGCCGCATGTTCGCGGCAATGCTTTAGATTCTGCTGTGTTGCAAAGCACCCTAGCCCCTGCTCAACTAAGACCCACAAAAGGCATGTTGTGAATTCTATGGAGGACTTCTATTCCATGTGTTTGAGGGGCTTCCTGACTAATTAAGAGCACGGATGTTAATCCTGTGCTGTGCACCCGTATCCAAGTCCTGCATACCCATCCCGGGTCTCTGGTGCCGAACACTCCGAAGCCTGAACTGCTATTCTCGTGCTCGAGGTGTAGAGAAAGCTTGTGATATGGACGAGGAGTGCGCGACACTTGCAGAAGAGGCAATTGGCAAAGACTGGTAACAGCTCGCTTTGCATCTGAGATTGAGCTCTGTTGCTGGAGTCTGAAGTGCGAAGGCTACATGGTTTTCATGAAGCATGGAATCTTACAAGCCGTATTCCGCAATCCCTGCGCCGAGTGAAATATTGAAGACTTGCAGGAACCGTTGAAGTGCTGAGGTTATCGAAGATGGGTTCCCCGAAAGACACTAAATCCTAAACCCTAAACCCCTAAAGCCAAAACCCCAAACCCCGAGCCCTAAACCTGCTCTCGGGGGAGCCGCAACGTGCCAAGAACCACAATGGAGACACTAGGTATTCGATTCGATACAATCGATGTCTCAGGGCCGAGGTTTGATGATACGTGTTTTATAAGTTTGATCTTTAGGATCTGATCAGGTCGCTCCAGAAAGGAATGACACTGGAGACTGTAGGCAGTGCCCTAAACCCTGAAGCACAAGCACCCAACATCTCCAAAGGAAGTTCGCAATAGTAGCCGCCACTTACCAACCAAGCATTGATGGATCCGAGACCTTCTAACCCTACAGCCTCAGACTCTAAACCCCGAAGACCTACGGAACGTACTATATTGGGGACCGAAAAGGGGACACGAATTCAGAGCACTACCCTTGTAGAAGCCTGAATAAGCACCGATATGACTCCTCTTCAGGTTTCCACGTAGTAGAATTACCCCAAGACCCTCTTCGAATACTGAAGGCCAGTCTAAACCCTACGCCCTAAACCCCATGCCTAGAGTTTAGGGTTTAGGGTTTAGGGTTAATCCTAAACCCTGAACCCTGTAGTAAACCCAAATCAGGCCAGAACGTCTTTCTGTGTTAAACCGCTCTGCTGGTGCAGGCTGACGTCCTCGTCACCGGCGGGGAGTCGCACTTCACTGACTTGCCCTTAGTGTGGTTTTGGATTTAAGCTGAAACCCCAAACCTTGCAACAAGCTAGGTTTGGGGATATAATTTAGATGCCAACTCGCCCCTCGTTTGAAGAAACTAAAACCCCAAAACCCTTGAATCCTAGGTCCAAGGACGGTCGGCTGTCAGTGCTTGGTTGCCGCTTGTTCGAACCCCCTTGCACTGAACCGATCTTTGAAGCCTAAGTTGCCGAAATCCCCAACCCTAAACCCTGAACCCTAAGTTGCCGAAATCCCCAACCCCCAAATCCTAAACGCTAAGACTCCAAAGCTCTTCGAAGAAGGTGCTTTTTTGTGCGAAATGTCTACAAACCTGGTCGCTTGTTCCACCTCAAGCCTCAATTTTACGAACCCTAAACCCTAAAGTTAAAGCCTAAACCCTAAACACCCTAAACCCTAAACCCTGAACCCTACCCTAAAGTCCTACAACCAAACAGCGCCGGGTAGAGTTCTCAAGGTCCTAATGCCAAAAAGCTTACTCCGAAAAGCTTTTACGGTTAAAGGGTTTAGGGTTTAGGGTTAACGGCTTAGAGTTAAGGGTTAAGGGTTTAGGGTTAAGGGTTTAGGGTTTAAAGTTTAGGGTTTAGGGTTAAGGGTTTAAGGTTCAGTGTTTAGGGTTGAGGGTTCAGGGTTTTAGGGTTCAGGGTTTAAGGTTCAGGGTATAGGGTTGAGGGTTTAGGGTTTAGGGTCAAGCCTTAATAGCAATGTGTAGGGAATCCCAGCACTAATTGTCCTTAGTTCGGTTTCAAATTTTCTGGGGTTTACTGTAAGCCCGAAGCCCAAGGCGAGTCCTTTCCAAAACTCTGTTTGAAGGATCATGGAACTTAGCAACTAACAAGGTGGTGAAGGTTGTAAGTAAAACGTAACTACAGTTATGAATACTAAAAACCCCATTTGAGATACTTATACTAACTTCGAGATACTTGTATCCTGACTTTATTACTAAGTCCCATATGATCCCCCAAGTGACATGTCCCGAGGTCTGCAAAGCCTACCGCGATGCTTTGCGTCTTCTCTGCGATTGCGTGCCGGTGAAAGAAGCGAAGGAAGGTGCCAGCGGCTGTTGCCGCTTCGGGGGTTTAGGGTTCAGGGTTTAGGGTTTATTGAACTAAATTTAGGTTTCAAATTTTAGGGTTTAGGGTTGGCGGTTTAGGGTTCGTGGTTTACGCCTTCAATGGTGAAAGCCGGCTTAAAGCCTTTTTAATGCCCACACAAGTTCTTTTTATATTTTTCAGAACCACGTGACATAAGGAATTCAGAACAGTCAGCCCCAAAAAGGCAGGAAGTAGAAGGGTTCAAACAAAACGTTTTAAACACTGGGCTTGAGTCTTGCTACGTTCTCATTTGCGATCCCTGCCAAGTGCTTGCATGGTCTTAGCTTCCTTCTGAAAGCTGTGGTCTATCTTAGTTTCGGGTGGTCTGCGGTGCTGCTGTAACGTTTATGGTTTTGGACGTTTCGGAAGTCGGACACCCTCTTCAGGCTCTTGAGTTTGTGTTTCCGAAGTTGTTGTTGTTGGCACGCCTTGTCCTTTGCTGAGGCCCTCTTCTCTAAACCGTAAACCCTAAACCCCTAAACCCTAAACCCTAAACCCCTAATCCCTAAACCCTACACCCTAAAACCCTAAACCTTAAACCCTACACCCTAAAACCCTAAACCTTAAACCCTAAACCCTAAACCTTAAAACCCTACACCCTAAAACCCTAAACCTTAA